ATATAAATAATTAAACGCGGTTTGATTGGACTTGATCAATCTAGGCCATAGAACTGAATGCGGCCAGTCGACCAGCCAATGGTCAGAACCGAGCGATCGTTATCCTTGTTCAACGGCTGGAAGCTGATGAAGCTGGGATACTCCGACGGTGATTGGCCATTTAAGTAGTAGCCACCGGATATTTGTAGGTCGTACTTCTGAATGTAGGTGCGGAAGATGGCTATGGAATTGGTCGACTTGAACGTGATAACGACATATTTGCCGTGCGGATCCCACACCAGCTGTTGCGCAGTGCCGCCAATGAATGTTTGGTTGCTGCTGTCCAAGCTACATGCATTCAGATCGGCTACGGGCAGCACCTCCTTATCATCCGCTTTCGCTAGGGAAACATTAATGCAAAACTCCAAATATAAACTCCCATTGAAAATTGAATTGACATAAATATTGTGGACAGCATTATACAGACGATCTGGAAGCTCATGCAGTCGCCTACCTGTTGCATGCCAACCTAACCAGTTTTGCCATTGCTCTCGGGTAAGCTTTGTAGCGCGTGCTTGCAAGCAATTCTGGACAAGCACGCTACTGAACGCACCCGTAAATTTGAAGAGTTATGTTGATTTGGACTTACATTTCATAAGAATCAGCTGCACAAACTGAAGACGATATAAGATAGGATCTGCAGTGTTCACAAATAGCAAAAACCGGCTACAGGGTGACCAGCAGCAGGCCTGCACGTTGCCTCCGTCGCACACCCAGCGATCCGAAGTCCATTTGTTGTGACATTTCCATACGCGAAACACTCGATCTACAGTTGCCGCAAAGATCCACTCGTTGTTTGGTGACCAACTCAGCAACGAGCCCGGTGGACCGAGACGCTTCAGTGGCTTCACCCTCTTGCTATCCGGATGCCAAATGAGAATGGCGCGGTCGCCAATGGACGAGCTAGCCAGCAATGAGCCGTCCTTGCTCCACTTTAGCGAGCTAATAGGTAGATTACTCGGACTGCGAAAACAAACACAAAAGATAAGAAGCTAAGTTATGGCAGGCAAGGCATGTCGATTGACGTACTGTTTCAACGTATAGCTGGGATTGATAGTGCGACCCAAGTGCAAATTGTTGTCAATTATCCAAAAGCACAAGCCCTGGCTACAACCAACCACCAGCTCAAAGGCGCACAGAGGTCGCCAGGCCATGCATGTTATCTGAGTTTGCGTTGCACTCTTCAGGACGTGGCCTATGCCGCCATGATTTTCCGTTGTCTTGCCATAGATGCGCACGACGTCATCCATGCCGGCTACGGCCAGCTTAAAGACATGCACGTGCCATGCAATGTACCGCACAGAACTGTTTATCCAGTCTCTATAATTGATTGGCCATTAATAGGTACACAAGATTAAAATAAAATAATATAAAATACCTCGTCTCTGCATATTGAGCGATTCGCTCGGCGCTCAGTTGCTGTGTGTGCGGAAATATTTTTAATTTGAAACTGCTGTAGAGGTCTAGCATATGTGCAATGAAATCGGCAGCTTTGCTTATTACTGGCGCCTGCTCACGCGTCTTCTCGCTGCGCGCCTCTGTCAACGATTCCCAAAAGCCGCCATCGAAAAAGGTCCGCGAAATGCGCTTTGGCACGCTTTCTGTTTCTACCGGTATGAAGCTGTGGCTGATTGAGATGCGGTTAGCTGATGGATTGATGAGTTCGTTCTTTAGGTTAATCTTTGGATATTGGTCCAATTCAGGTACATAGCTATAACCGTGTCCCACACTCGTTGGCGACGACACCGAAGGAATTTCTTTCAGATTGCTTAACGATGCCATTTAAATTTATTGTGCTTGTTGAATAGTTAGTTGACATTTGAGTACCCGTTACTTGTAACGAATATGCCTAATTTACAAATGACAACTTATAGAAAAAAAATATATAAATATATCGGAACGAAATATTATATTTACTCTTTTTGTTATTTTAAAATTGATTGCCTGTAAGACGAATACTTTTGGATTATCATATTATTATGAAGTCAGTATTTAATTTTCTTGAAACATGTCGATTTGCGAGGGCAATCAATTTAAATGAGTATTTTGCGAACTAGTGCAAGTAGTTCAGCTCGGAATTGGTTAGCATCCCTCGTTTTTTCTTTATTGTTTGGCAGCAAACAAATTCAAAACGCGAGCTTAACCTATCAATATTAATAAATAGTGGTCTACTAGTTTGTTTTACCGCTTTAGTTTTTCATTTAAGCTGTCATTTTAGAAATGTCAATTGAGGAATTCTCTGCAAGGGCGTAACTAAGAATCATTTAGCTGCATTATTGAGGCATTCGACCAACAGTTGTTTTTTTTTTCCTTTTTTTATTTTTGTTTCGCCTTCACCGCCTAATTTCACAGAATCCCGAACGCGCGCGTCCCATATAAACATCTATATTTATAACATATTGTGGAAAGACAATGCCTCACTCAAACAACCACACAGATAGCAATAATGTTGCAACCGAATTCAAGGGGCTCATCTCACAGCTCAGAGAGGGCGTTCATCCCAAGGACTCGCAGGAATTGCTCGGTAAATAAAATAAATTTAATCACTCGACAGCTATATAATATCTTTCTATTTTACTTTCCATTCCCCAGATCGATTGGTGCCCCTCGCGCTGCAGTACATACGAAAATGCCCCGATATATTTGATAGTACACCGCCATTGCCAGAGATAATTTGTTTGGACAAGATTATGACAATATTGGAGTCGAATCCGATATGGGGAGACGAGGACAAGCCTGGCTCCGTCTTCCACGAGCATTACGTTGTGGCCTCCTGCGAGGTGAGTTATATGATTCAATTGTATGACGCACACATCACCCAAACTCTTATTAATATTCATAATAAGAATGCTATGCTATATTTCAAACTCGCTAGAAATTGAGCATGTGGGGTATGATGTTTTCTCAAAATGTATGTACGATTAGATTTGCTTATATTTGTATTCTTAATTCGATCTATTTCTGTCCAAAGACTTAAAGTTGTTTTAAAGCAAACAAAAATTTCAATTCAATGTTTTAAAATCAGATAAGAGTGATTAAAGTTGATTTTACTAATGTAAATGTAATGATATATTTTGTGGTATTTCCAAGCAATATTTTTACTTTAATTTTTTGTAGATTGAAGATCATCGTATGCGAGATCTGCTAGCGAATCTCATCCTGTTTAGTCTGGAAAATGACACGTCGTATGGAAAGGTGGATTATGGACAACAGGCGTCAATTGCGCGGCCTAAAACGGAAAGCAAGATCCGTAGCTCGTGCAGCACCACCCTTCAGTCGAATGGCATAAGTCTAAATGGCAACAAAAATGGTGTGTCCGTGAAGCCTAGCAGCTACGACTCGACACAGAATAGCGTTGGACTTGGCAGCGTACCATTGCCAAACTATGTTGTTGAGATAGCAAAGCAAAATAACACCAATACCGATTACAATGTTGTCCAGAATGCGATCTATTCGTTTTTGGGCGTACAGGGAAAGTATCTTAAGAAGGACGTTATTACAGGACGCTTCAAACTCGATCCGCTCAGCATGCAGTCGATTTCGAGTGTGCAGGCTGGCATGCTCTTGCGTCTTTCCGAGCTAGGGTATTATCATGATCGGATCACCAAGTTTTCCAACACAACAACCGGCTATAATGCGATGGGCAGCATGGGGCAGGCGCTAATGGCGAAGTTGAAGCTGGAGCTGAGTGAATTTCATGGCCACGTGGCTGCTTTGCAGGATCAGCTGAACTGCTATCGGGAGACGCAGATGCGAGACTATGTTGATCGCGATAAAAGCTGGTTGGACAGACAGCCGGAGCAGCTTACCCTATTCAAGCTCCTTTGCTGGTACATGGAGCCACTTCGTCGAATGCAATGGCTTACAAAAATCGCCGATGCCTGCCAAATGAAGAAGGGCGGCGACTTAGCATCCGTGATCTATAAATTTTTAAATAATGGGGACCCCATGGTCAATAAATTGGCCACAGATCTGTTAACCGTGTGCTGTGCCCCGTTAGTGCGCATGATCTCAAAGTGGATGCTCGAAGGCGGCATCGAGGATAGCCACGGGGAGTTCTTCATCGAATCAATTGACGAGGTCGGCGCCGATCGTCTGTGGCACGATAAGTTTCGCTTACGCCACAGTATGTTGCCCAAATTCGTCACTCTTGAGCTTGCCGATAAGATACTTAAGACCGGCAAGAGTATTAACTTTTTGCGTGAGATATGCAAGGTGGAGGAAGCTGTTAAGGATCGCAAGGAGCTGAAGTTTGTAATTGATAATCATGGTGAGTCTAAATTAAGTCAAATACTTTGATATCAATCCTTAATTCTTTTCGGCTCGATTTTCATTTAGTTTCCCACATTTTCTCGTATGTTCCGGATACGACCTGGCATGCGGCCATCGAGACGTGCTATTCGCAGACATCGAAACATGTGCTGGACATTATGGTTGGCCCACACAAGCTATTGGATCATCTGCAGGGCATGCGTCGGTATCTGTTGCTTGGCCAGGGCGACTTTGTCAGCATATTCATTGAGAACATGAAGTACGTGAAAAAAGCAAATTCCAAAAATTATCCAGTTTCTAAATTTATTTGATTTCGCAGGGATGAGCTGGAGAAGATTGGTACCGAAATATACTCACATGATCTCTCTGCCATGTTGGATGCCGCTTTGCGCTGTACAAACGCCCAGTACGACGATCCAGACATACTAAATCACTTGGATGTTGTGGTCAAAACGCCATACCCGGGCGATTGCGGTTGGGATGTCATATCACTGCAATACACGGTGCGTGGACCGTTGGCTACCATGTTGGAGCCAGCAATGCCCACATACAAGGCCCTATTCAAGCCGCTTTGGCGCATCAAGCATATGGAATTTGTACTGTCTACGAAAATTTGGAAAATACAAATGGGCAATGCCAAGGTGAGCTTTTTTTATTAACTTTTCCCATGAATCCTTCACTGGAAAAATTATTCTAACGATTTTTAAAAACTTATCGATGTTGACACAGAAAATATCGATATGGGCCGCATTGCCGATGAATCAAACCTGATCATTGCATACGGTAGAAAGAAGCTATGAGTCCATAGATCGAAGTGTAGGTAGACCAGATTAAATACAATATGATAAGTAGAGACAGCTGCATGGAAACTTTCTACCCTTCTCGTACAACGAGTACAGGTTATATGTGTAATAAAGAAGACCAAATGTTAATTGCGAGCTATAAGCCCCCACCTCACAATTTAAATTTAAGCAGTTTTGCTACGGATAAGATTAGCTCGCAATCTAATCCGTGTCATTGAAAATTGCTGAGGCAGTGCTGCACACTTGCCATTGCCGTCCTAAGTTCTGATAAGGGCTAGGCTATCGGTATCCGGGTATCGGAGAGTGGGTTTAAAGTACACATTCCTGTCCCATATTAATTGCTAGCTATTTATACCTATATATCTAAATATAATTAATGAAATAATAAATCAGGCACAGATTCCTCTTCTAGGCTTATGTATTATTTTCTAATTACACATAGTATAAACATACAAAAAAAATATAAGAAACAGAAACACACATATTGTGGAAATACGACTGGAGTATCGCAGCTATGACAACAAAAGTAATGTGCGATTACGAACAAACGTGCAAAACATAGAAACTGGGGAATGTGCCGTCGTTTTGTTGTGAAAGCGGCAAATGTCAGTTTACAATTTGGCGTCCGTTTTCAGCAGGGGCGCCAGTTTCTGAGTCAACATGATGTTGCCGGCAATCTTCAGCTTGCCCTTCATGAACGCTGCCTGGGGATTGAGTTTGCCGAGAGCAATGTCAACCATGTCCTCGTCTGAAACCGTCAGTGTGGTGTCGACCTTGACGCCCTGGGCGGGTCCTTCGTACGCCTTGGCACTCTTGCAGTCGAGAGCTGTAAATTAAGTTGAGTTAAGCAACTAGATTTTCAATGAGCCCAGCAGCAGCTGCTGCGGTAGCAGCCAGGGCTGAAGTACGCGCTATTTGCCTGCACTTTGAACTTTGCTAGCACAGACGTGTAATTGGCAGACGCGAATATTGAGCTTAATTACTTACTCCACTCCTTGACCACTTTGCCGTCCTTGGTGATTTTGTACAGGAATACTCCATTGACAGCCTTTGCCTTGGCAGCATTATCCTTCAGTCCATCGATGATTTTCTGGAACACGGCGTCTGATTGTAACGACATTATTATGTTTCTTGTTTTATTGGACTACGCTTTCGTTAATTACAAAATAAAAAGCAACAAATCAGTGTTATATATAATGCGAAATTGGATTTAACACTGCGTCAGAGTGCTTACACCTGAAAGAAAAAACGTCAAATAATGAACAAACAACGGCAATCGTTGATATTTATGTGCTTTTTTCTCTTCTAATTTTGCTTTGCTCACGTTTTCTCACTCTCGATACTCATTCATTTCCTAACTCACACACACACACACGTAACTAATAAAAAAATCGATAGTTTGCGTTGGAGTTTGCACTCTCCTCTCTCGCTCTCTCTGTCTGTCTGTCATTTGGCGTACTGTTAAATAACATGAGCCAAAATGTTGGTGCTCTGTATTCGCCCTGCGCACTGTGCAAAGTGCGCCATCAATTTGAAGATCACAAATACTACATGTGGATATAGATAAGCGTTGGAGATTAATGGATTTCGGTTTGCTGCGGTAAACAATTTCTTTCAATAAACTATTTGATACGCAATTATATATATACATATATATAAGCTTAAATATAGCAGCAATCAATGAATACATAAATATAGACCTGTTTTATAATCAGTATTTTATAAAATTTATTGTATACAGCCACTAACCAGAGATAGTGATACAGCTTAACAACTTTCAATTTTGATCAAAGCTTTTTTTAGTAAGTATTCTATGCATTCTCAAACTTCTCCGGATCAAGTCCGGCCGTCTTCATCTGGACAGCAATGGAGAATAGGTAGTCATAGCACTCCGACCTGAAGGAATGTACATATATTATTTCTATTATAATCATATATGTAGTTTGTTACTCACATAGTCTTGGTCTTTTCCCACGTCTGACCCCATACGTAGACGCCATGACGGCGCACAAGTACGGCACTACATCCGGGATATTCCATCATCGCAGCATACATGCTGTCGGCCAAATCTCGTTCGTGAGGAGTATTCTCGATGATGGGCACGACCAGTTGTTCGTCGTAACGCAAATATCGCTTATCAGCCTCATCGTAGACGCCCTAAAAAAAAAAAAGATTACAAAAGCTATGTACAGCATATACAAATAGCATGGCACTGGCACTTGATCTAGCGCTAATTCTGGCACCTTAATCATTTCCAAATGTGTGCAACGAAACGTTTTGCCTGGCCAGAGCAGCGTAGCCATGACCGCGTGCTGGGAATGTGTATGGATGACGGCGGCGGCATTGCGATGCCTGTATGCCAGCATAAAGAGAGGCGTGCATTGGCTCTTCTTTAGGCCCTTGATCTCTGGCGGCAATTGTAAATCCTTGCCATCTATGTCCTGCACAAACAAATCCTCTGGCTGCATACGCTCCTTCTGTACGCCCGATGGTGCGATATAAATTTCATTGCTATTTCAAAAGTCATTCAAGAGTTATCTTCAATATACATATTCATTGATAGACTTGCTTGTATTTAATGCTCATGCCGCCGCCAGTGCCGGTGACCCAGCCAAGATTGTAGAATTGCGCACATAGTGCAGGTATTAAGTGACGTGGGTGCTCGGCTGGCAAATCCCTAAAAATTGACGAAGCCATTGCAGAGTAGCGAATCAAATATGACACAGTCGCAGTTGTTTAATCACTATGTAAACAATTGATAAAAACGCTGCGATTATTCGGTTCAGTCTTGCTTCACACGCTGTAAGTATTATCGATAGCAATATCGATAGCCGGTGTCTAGTTTAAATAAATATTATTCATACACTAGCTTACGGGATTACATTTAAAAAACAAAACTACAAAGTTTCAGTGGAATCCTCTATTTGCTCATAAGCTTTTTAATAACATTTGCATCTGATATTCTCTTATATTAAAAATACTATACATATTTTCAGGCGCTGCGCTCGTTACACGATGAGATTTCCAAAGCCACCTACAGATTGCACTTGTTCACATCCGAAATTATGCATTTTGTTCATCAAATGCAATATTATGTGCTCTTCGAGGTGATCGAATGCAATTGGGTGGAACTGCAGAAGCGAATGCAGCAGGCGAAGGCTTTGGATGACATACTCGATGCGCACTCCAAGTTCTTGCAAGCGATCAGCGTTGGGTGCTTTGTGAACACCTCGACGAATATGGAGAGTCATCTGGAAGTGGTTTATGAGAATATAATTTCACTAGAAAATTGGCAGGAAAACTTTTACAAGGAATGTTTCGCAGAATTGGAGGCACGCGAAAAAATGCAAAGAGCTATTGCTGAATCAGAAGGGACCGGGCGCTTCGGTGTGACTACGGAGCAAAAGATGGAACGCGACCAGGACCGCAAGATGTTTGAACAAAAGATCTTAACATGCTGTCGGACACTTGAAGGCTTCGCCGGCTCCTATGCCAAAGCAGTTGGTGGATTTTTGCTAGCCCTTAACTCTAGCGATGATCACAATCTACAGCTCTTTGGCACTCGTCTGGACTTTAACGAATACTACAAGAAGCGGGACACAAACCTGAGCAAGCCGCTAACCTTCGAGCATTGGCGCATGAGCAATGTATATGGCTATTCCAAAAGCCATATGGGTGGTCGCTACAGCATGTATCCACAACCAACTCCACAATTCGGTCGTCAGGGACATGTGTCATTAACATGGGACTAACAATTAATCAATCCACAAACACATCAATCTAGTGCCAACAACAACAATTGTTTGTATAATTTGCCATGTGACGAAACAAATGTTTTAGCTCGACGATCAAGTTTGAATGTCTTGGCCTCAAATTGTTGCGGTGTCCTGTAGAACGCAGTTATTTTCATTACAATTTCACTACATAAACTCAAAAATTTAACTGCTGCACGCTAGCTACCTGGATCTTCAAAAAACAAAAATTTAATATTGCCAAAGTATCTCTATAAAATTATTCGTATACTTACTGATGTCCTATCTTGCTAAGGAAAGTACAGGCATAGTTTTTTGTTTTGTTTTTTTTTTTTTTTTTTTTTTTTTTTTTTTTTTTTCTCTAACGATTGCTTGCTGTGCCAAAAGTATTATAAATTTCCAAATTATGTTTACATTGAAAATTTCTGCGCCTGTTTTGTGGCCAGTTTTATCTATCTACACATCCAACAATGTTGCCTGCGACAAATCAATTAACGAAAGGATTAGCATTTTTCTGTTGCATGTCTGATATAAATTGTTTATGCTATCGTACGGTTTGTTGATCTATAATATAATATACGAGTACATTAAAAAAAAAAAAAAGCCAATGGCATATAAAATGAAGTATGTGATTGAATTAATTGAAACGATTTTAATTGTTGATATACTTCACAAATTCTAAATAAATGGTTATGAATTTTAAAATGTAATTTGCAAGACTTTTATAATGTGAACCAACATTTTCGAATATACTTTTATTTACTATTTTGGCGGGATAATCGAATACAAGTTGGTTATCGGTACGACCGTATACCTGCAGAACTATCGATGTAGAAGCAATGCTGTGCTTATCGATAGCACGTACGATATCGGCAGTAACTTATTTTTTTGTGGGCGATAAACAAATAGCACAACAAACTTGTAAAAGAGCGACTAAAAATCAATTGCAAGAAATAACACAAGAATGCAAGCTGAGGAAGCTCGCCTGTCGCAAATAATTAAACGTTTGAATCGGTTAAACAAATAAGCAATTTCACCAGCTTATCAGAAGCAAAAGGTGGCAAAACTTTGGATTCGCAGCGAGTTTGGTGTGCACTTCGCGTTGGCAGTGATTTTTGCAAGTGCGAAAGCAAAAAACCAAGAGCAAAAGAGCGAATGAAAAGATAAATGCTGACGGCTACCGGCTGCTCTGGCATATTAAATCCACTGTCTCTTGGTATTTTTTTTATTGTTGAGTTGCTAAATTACAAATTTGAAGCCAACATATTGCTGCTCTGGAGGCAAACAAAATAGCAACAACAACGAGAGCAGCAATAGCAGCGCACGCAGGGACTACGACGACGTCGACGAAATGGCGTTAAAAAAAGTGAAGGGAAATTTCGAACGAATGTTTGATAAAAACTTGACAGACCTTGTGCGCGGAATACGAAATAATAAGGATAATGAGGCAAGTGCCGCAACGCCAAATAGTTGTTTTTGTGCTTATCATGAACCAACACAATGACTTAATTAGCTGTCAAATTTCATTTCCATTAGCATAGATGTCGTGTGTTTGTGTCTGCATACATACATATATATGTCGTCAAAATCTGCCAAAGGCTCAGAAGCTTGACTCTATTAGCGGTATTTCGCCTCTGCCACTCTCTGTCTCTCTCTTCATATCGGGTACTCTTAATGTCTTTCAATTCATTGATGTGGCAGCTCACACACACACACAGGCATACCGACACTTGCACTCACAACCAATGAAAATGTTCTGTCACTGCGAAGCCGAACTTTCTTAACGTCTTTCAGCTTACGCTTCCTTATCAAATCAAAGACATTTTATTCTTTTGCCTAACAGCACCATTTTCAGCTGATGCCACCCATGTACATATACATATGTATATAAAGTCTGGTTGACTAAACAGTTTTAATAATTATCTGTATAATCCATGCTTCTTTTGTTCCCACTCTCCAGCAACAGCAATTTTGTATTTTCAGTTGCTTCGGCAAAAAAATTGCTGATTTCTGTACGCGCCAATGTACGTGTGTATATACATACATATGTATTTACGGAGCTATGTACACACTTGCATAAATCTATAGACATTGCAATTGTATTTAGTTCAGTTGATAGCACAAGACATTTCCCTTTCTCCCTCTCCCTGCACAATTGTGATGCATAAGATTCAGGTTAATTTTTGTTGCTTTTTCCTTTCTATTATGTGCCTGATTCGGTTCGCCAATCGGCTTGGGTCATGCAGATTGCCCATGAAAGCTTAATATGATTAGACATGCTTTGAATTGTTATTGCATTCAACACACACACGCTTTCATTTCATTACTAATTAAATTTTCACCATATTTTTTTTTACGTTTTTTTTTTCAGGCTAAGTACATAGCTCAATGCATTGAAGAGATCAAACAGGAATTGCGTCAGGACAATATCAACGTCAAGTGCAATGCAGTGGCCAAGTTAACCTATGTAAGTTGGTCCTCAACAAAAGCAGAATATGTGGTATTAAATAATGTGGAAAGGCCCATCTATATATATA